AGGGAAAGGCAGAGAGAGAGAGGTTGATGTGAGAGAGACACTGATCAGCTGCCTCCTGCATGCCCCTTACTGGGGATTGAACCCACAACCTGGGCATGTGTCCTGACTGGGAATTGAACCAGCAACCTTCCAGTGCACAGGACGACCCTCAAACAACTAAGCTACTATGGCCAGGCACAGATTGTTTAAGGTATTAAATGAGAATTGGTTTTTAGCTGTATAACTATAAAAACACAATTATCATAAAAGTGATTGATGAATGAATGAGTTAAATATTAAATTGGGACAAGAGCTATTTATCTTCAGAGTTGAATCCAAAGGCCTCCTAGTGCCCTGGCCATAAAACTTGGGTGCTATAATACATAGAACACTTACTATCTGCCAAATGATATGTTTTACATACATTTCCTCATTGTTCAACCACACTGAAAGGTTCATATTAATTACTCAGTTTCCTCATTTCACCACTAAGGAAGCAGGCTTAGTTGAGAGGTTCGGTCCCAGCCAGTAGAGCCTCGGCTCACACCCAGGTGCTCTGACTCCAAAGCCTGTGTGATCTGAACAAGCATGCTACCCTGCGCACACAGTACAGCTACTTCGTATGCTGGCTGCCTTCAGTATAACTAAAGCCCAGGGGAAGCGAGTGTGATTTCCATTTTTAGGAATCTGAGCTCCTTCTGGGCTGGGTCTGTATGAACTGGTAGGAATAAACACTAGATCTACCATCTAGGGATCACAGTCTACTCTGAGTAGAACATGTCAACAAACCAAAGATTGTTTAGAAGAAGAAAAACAAAAAGAAGAAGGCATGTCCTGAATATCTAAACAAGAACAACTGTGTCATCAGTTCATTGATGTTTATAATTCCTCCTCTTCAGAGGATTGCAGTCCTTTCAGTTAGGAAGGCACCAACAATTGAAGGATCCAGGGGACTTAGGCCAGGCAAGTGATGGAAAACAGGTTGAAGAAATCCTGGCTTGAAGCCTGAGAAACAGATGCTGAAGGACAATATTTAAGTCTGTTTGAGAAGTGGAATTACACTATGATTAACTGTCCTATATTCCTAGAAAATCCACATGTGGATTTAACTTGCCTCACTTGGGGTTTGAACTAGATATAGGGAAGGACGCCATGCATTTTGAGAGGTAGAAATTAGCATCTAAGCCCCAATTAAAGGCTGAGAGGCATCCCCCAGACACCCAGCTAGGGAAAATGCTCTGCAGCTCTCAAAGATGAACCTCAGACCCTCCATCCCCATGACACCCACCAAAGATCCTAGAGGCCTCAAGAAATATTCACACAGTGGCACCACTTTCCTGCCAGATGCTAAGTATTCAACAGGACCCAAGGCTCCTCCTACCTCTGGAAGGAAACCAGGTAAGCCCCCTACTTACATTCTTGAGGAACTCCTCAGCCACGATGCGGGCACGGGCATTGACCGACAGCTTCATCTCACTGATCTCTTTGTCGATCTCCTCCATGAAGTGGATCACAAAGTCCACCAACTTGTGTTTATACATCTGCTCTGTGTGGAAGTTGGTGATCAGAAAACTGATGTCATAACCCTAGAGAAGAGAGCAGGGAGAAATGAGAAAAAAACAGGAGATTAGCATCCCAGGGGGAACTTAGCTGGCCATGTCCTCTGCGTTCACTCAGTCACATGCTTCCAGCTGGTTGTAATCTTCTCTCAAGCTACACACCTTTCAGTCAGCAGCCCACCTGCCCTGGTGGGGTGTCTATGTTGGATCCATGGAACTGAACCCAGTTGAGGATTTTGTGTATATCAGACGTCTCAGGAAGACTATCTGTGGCACAAATAGTTGCATTCAAAATGAGTCAAGGGAGAGTGAAGAGACCCGAAATCTTGTTATAGAAGAATCTAATCAAACAGGGAACACTTAGACTAGAGAGAAGAGATGCTGTGGGAGACGGATGAAATGGAGTCTAACTATCAGATAGGTTGTGTGTGGGAGAGCAATTTTACTTATTCTGGGTGGTCTCGGAGGTCAGATCTAGAACCAGGAGACTTTAACTCAGAATGAGGATGAGTTTGTCCAACATGTCTAATGAATCTGATGCTGCTGCGTGCTGCTCTGTGTGGCTGTTGCTCGGTCACTGCGGATATTTTAAGTCAATTTGACAGGGAGTCTGTGGAGAGGACTCAAGTACAAAGTCAGCAACAACTGACCCAATATCAACTGTATCTCAACTGTATCCTTGAGAGATTATGATATCAGCTGGTGGCAGAGCTTAGAAAGGATTTGACTCGCTCTGTCCACAGGCTCTGGGAAGATGAAGAATGTGTCTGCTCTATTTTGCCTTTTCCATGGTTGAGGCAGACCCAACTTCTCCTAAGCTGACCCTCCTTACCCACCCCCCCTCCAGTTGAGATGAAGGCCAACTCTCAACTCAAGCAGTGATTGGATGCCCTACAGCTAGAGAAGTAGCAATCCTGGTTCTAGAAACAATCCCATGCTAGTGACAGTGGACTCAGTGATAGAATCCTGGGTATTACGAACATGTGAAGCACACGGTCTCACCTCCACTGGTTTTCTTCGAAGGATAAAAAAATTCTCTGCTCGCATCATCATGAAGCGCATGAACTTGTGGCATAAAATCTTCTCAATCTCATCGGCCTATTGAAAGCAAAGCAGAAATGTTTCCCTAAAGCTGATACGACAGACCAACAGAAACCTGTAGCCTGGGCTTCTGACCCAATTTCCCCCAGGTTCACTGAAGCCAGAGGGGTTTGCTACTGGTAGCAATCACTGCCTAAACTCTGAATCATGGGACACTTGGTTGTGAATTGAAAAGAGGGTCAACAACATTAGAGCTTCTCCAAAAGGGCATTATCATGATCTTATCTTTGCCCATTCCAGAGAGGTAATTCTGGCGAACTGGAGTCTTCTATCCACTCCTTCCAGACTCCTCACCTATATTCAAAGATGCCTTTCTCTTTCTCATTTCACTAGTGTAACATCTTCCAGAGTCTATGATATACCTCACCCGGAGTTATCAGAGAAAACCTTATGTAGTCTCTGCTTTAATAACACTGAACATCAAACAATCTCCAGTTTCTCCCTGCTGAACTCTCAATATTTCTAAAGGAAGAATTTTGCAGCTGGGTAATAGTATGCCCTGAACAGTTCCCCAACACTCGGTAATCTCCTCTATTAATATAGAGAGCAGGCCCCAGAGGTAGCGCTTCCTATAGGCAATAGAATCAGTTTTCATTATGTTTATTTTTTAAGAGTTCCCTCCATTTGGCAAGTGATACTGTTTTTCCTCTTATGACATAGTTGTTTTTTAAAAAAGAAACTAAGTCGATTTAAAGAAATCTATTAAGTAAATAACTGTCCAGATGGTACACAGATATGACAAAAATTATGGGGGTGACGGGAAGGTCAGACATTTGTAAAACACCTGAGGAAACATAAGAAATTACACTTTTTAACTCTAAATCTTACTTTCAGAGTTTAAGACCATCAAATTGGTACTGGTGCTATTTCTTTTTCCTAACTGGACTTACTCTTCATTCCTTAGGAGTGGCTCTATGAGCTAACACCAAACTGGCCTATGGCCTTGGCTGCCTACACTTCCTGACTTCTAATCCAGAGCAAGGCCTAGAAGATAGAGTTGCTCGCTCTTTATTCTACCGACCTGCTGAGTTTGGCAAATCGTTTCCTGGGTACAGTCAAGGAAATAGAGCCTGAGTTTCCGTGCACCCAGATCTCTCGGATGGGAATCCCTGGCCTCCTGGAAAGGCAGGGGCTCCATGGTGAGCTCACCTGTTTCACAGCAATGCTGACCCGGACAGAGTTGATGGAGCCCTCAATCAGAACCTTTTCCTTCTCATTCCTGCTGATGGTCACAGGTTGTAACAGGAGCTCTTTGCTACTCCTGAAAACACAATGTCACAAAGGCCTCTGTACTAGAGAGGAACAGATTGCTCAGGGAGATCCCACAGCAGGTCCTAGAATCACTATCTGAGACCAGAGTCCAAGGAAGAGGGGTGCTCCAAGATGGGGGACTGTGAGCATATTTTCCAATGGAAAGAGCACAGGCTCTGGAGTCAGGGTGAAAAGGTTTTGAAATTCAGCCTCCTCTGTTATTTTCTTTCTTTAAATATATCTTTATTGATTTCAGAGAGAGGAAAGGAGAAAGAGAGAGATAGAAACATCAATGATGAGAAAGTCATTGATCGGCTCCAGCCCGCAACCCGGGCATGTGCCCTGACCAGGAATCGAACCCCGATTGCCTGGATCACAGGTCAACGCTCAACCACTGAGCCACGCCCAGCTGGGCTCCTCTGTTATTTTCTTTGGGCAAGTTACCCTTATAGAATCTCAATTTTCTCATCTGTAGAATGACTGATTCCTATTTCACTTGCGAGGACTGAGAGAGATAAAAAGGGTCAAGTGTCCAATAGCATGCCTGGCACATGGTAGGTAGGAGCTTTACAAATGACAGCTCTTATTTTAATATCTTTTTATTGATCTCAAAGAGAGAGGAAAGGAGAGGGGAGGAGGGAGGGAGGTTGGGGGAAAGAGAAACATCAATCCATTGCCTTCGGTTGCCTTCCATACTGTCCCTACCAAGGATTGAGCCCTCAACCCAGGCTTGCTCCCTGACTGTGAATTGAACCCACAACCTTTTGATGCACAGGACAATGCTCAGCAAACTGAGCCACTCAGGCTGGGCTCCNGACAGCCACTGATTGGCTGCCTCCTGCAGACCCCCTACTGGGGACTGAGCCTGAAACCCAAGCATCAGTCCTGACCTCCCAGTTCATAGGTGGAGGATCAGCCACTGAGCCATGCCGGCTGAGCCACAGCTCTTATTTTAATATAGGCAAACCCACATACCATTTAAGGAATGAGAACAGAAAGGATGCCTTAGAGAAAAGGACAAGCTAACACAGTTTGGCATCTTTTAATTATCAATCCCTAATGATTTACTTATTCAACATTAAGACCCCTCTCAGTTCAGTTCCCATTTTGATGCCTCTGTATCCCTAGATCTATGTAATGGTAATCAGCTGTGGTAGTGAAGCTGTTGTCACATTAAAATGCCTATTAGAAACCATGTTAAGTAACATAACATGGCACATGCTAACAGCTTGTCAATTTTTTAAAATTCAAATCATATCAACATAATGTATCTCAGTTATACATGTGTCCCAGATTAAACTTTAAAGGGTAAAAAGAACAAATTGTTTACAAAACATAAATTAGATAAGAGAATATAATCCAAAATGCAGAATATTTGGAGTAGGAGATGAAAGAGTCCAGGTCGATTGGGGGGGGAAATCATCTTTGATGTTTAAATTAGAAAAGAATAAAGATAGTATCTCAATAACTAAATTCTCCACCCTCTCCTTAAACTGCCAGTAAGTTAATAATACCCCAACAGATACTTCTGGAACAGTTCTACTCTGAGAACTCATACTTTGTATCAAGAAATCTTTGCTCAGACTGGCTTCTCCCCTGGGTTTTGTCCTGCCAACCCACTGACCCTGTTTTCTGAACTCCAAATTAGGAACCATTGTTCATCTGGCAGCAAGACAAAATATGTGAAGTGTTGTTGTCCTGACAACTCCAGAATGAAAGTTCATGGCGCATTCTAGACAACAGCCATCTCTGAGGCTGTACCCATCACCCCCACCATCGCCTTTTCCTTCCCTACCTGACTTCCACTTCCGGCTTGTTGTGTCGTTCCACAACCTGGGAGGAGAAATTCTCCAGGCAGAGAGCAGCCTGCAGTGTGGCCCGCACGGCACTCAAGTAGGGGCGGAGAGTGGCAGTCTATAGGAAAAACACCACAGGAGGATCAGAATCTCTCACCAAACCCACTGGCCCCCTGCTCTAGCTACTCGGGAGCCAGACAGTACTGAGGGTGCCTGGCATCAGACACCAAAGTAAACAGAACAGACTAGGCCTTCAAGGTGCCTTCCATTCTAAGTTCCTGAGCAGTGGTCCTCAACAGGGGACTATTTTGCCTGCCAGGGGGCACTCAGCAATGTTGAGACATCTTTCACTGACACTATTTGGGATGGGAGTGCTACTGGCATACCACTAAACATTCTACAATGCACAACAAAGAATTATTCAGCCCCATATAGTGCTAAGGCTGAGAAACACCTGTGTAGAGGCATGCAGGTGAATGATGGTCCTCAATCTATTTTTTGAACAACAAATGAGTAAGTCTACTACGTTCCAGCTAGGTGCTGGACACTCAAAGATGATTATGACCACCTCTACCCTTAAAAAGATCAATGGGGAGGGAAAACTATGATATAAAGGTTAACTGAGACATAACTAAATTTACAAGTTATATTTGTAAAAGAAATTGGCTTTGATTTGAAGATGGAAAAGGATTAGAATTTTACAATGAAAAAGAAAGTTAAGGGCATTCCTACTAGAAGGATCAGCTTCTAGCTACATTGGCTTATCTTCATTTCCTTATATTAGCCAAGTTGATTTCTCACCTCAGGGTTTCACACATGCTGAACCACCAATCTGTAGGTTTTTCTAACCTCTCTTTTCCTTCAGATGTTGGTTTACTCAGGGAAGGCCTTTTCTTTCCTCAGAGTCGTCTTTCTTGACTCCCCCTTCATAGCATTTCTTACAATTTACAATGGCATATTCTTCATACACCTTTAGTAAAGTGATCTCTCCTTCACTAGACTATAAGGCTCATGATCAATAAACCACGTTTATTTTATTCAAATTTACATACCCTACACCTAGCTGTTAGTACCTAACATACAGGGCGGGGCAAAAGTATATTTACAGTTGTGATTATGTAAAACAGTTTGTTCTTGTATCATTATTAATTATTGCATTACTTTCCATACGAACATCTGTAAACCTACTTTTGCCCTACCCTGTATATAGTGCCTTATTCATTTACTGTAGAATGAATGAATGAATGAATGAATGAATGAATGTAATAACTTAAAGTTAAGATAACACAACAGGGCATTAGGAGTTCCAGAAATAGTAATGAGTAGTACAGTGTTGCTGTATATAGAAAATATTTTAGATTCAGTAAATGAGGTTGCAGTGGTAGCCTGCAGATTCATGGAGAATGTCATATACCAGGCTACTGAGTTTAGCGTTATAGTGGTAAGTATCTGCCGGGGAATTCTGAGGGGGAAGTTATACAACTACAGCTGCATGGAGGTTCTGTGGAGAATGGGTTGGAGAGGGAAGTGAAACATAAGGCAGAGAGGGTTATTTAAAGAGCACTGATGAGAGCCTGGACCGGAGCTGTGGAAGAGGACAAGCAGAGAGTGTCACAGGGGTTAGAGTGACATAGGATGTAAATGTCGTGGAATAAAAACACCTTCCAACAAACTATGGCCCATCAACACAGTGAAGTACTATTCAGCAATAAAAAGAAATAACTGATAAAACTTGGATGAATCTCATATGTATTATGGTAAGAAGCCACATTAAAAAGCCTACATACTGAACAATTCCATTTATATGAAAATCTAGAAAAGGCAAAACTATAAGGGGGGAGGGGAAGAATCAGTGGTTGCCTGGGGTAGGGGGAGAGGACTGATTACAAAGGGACTTGAGGTGACAAAAATGCTTTGCATCTTAATTGTGGTAGTGGTCATAAGATTGTGTTTGTCAAAATTCAAAGACGGTAAACCTAAAAAGGCTGAATTTGAGGTGACCAGCCCCGTGATGCCTGCCCTTTCACAATTAAAAGAGACATAGTCTCATATACCTCAAAAAACTCGATTTTTTGTTTTAAATCGAAAAGTACGGCCAGTATAAGGAACAAAGGAGGATAAGCAATTTTAGGAGAAAAGTGGAGTTTTGCTCTGGAGGCCTAATGTCAAGGTGTCTTCAAGATAACCAGGTAAACCTTAAGAGAGCTAGAAGGCAGATTCAGGTGCCACCAGAATAAAAGTCATCAAAGCCAGGAGACTAGATATTTATCACTTAACTCCAGAAACACCAACATTTATCAACTGGGAGGATCTCAGGAAGGAAGGGATCAGCAGTATCAGATCTTACATACTACAGTAAGGCTAACGCAACTGAGTTCTGACCAGGAAGGGGCCTGGGTGGAGACAGCCTAAGACCCTTTCAGTACGGTAGAAGCAAGGCAGGAGTAAGGAAAAGAGTGGGATACAGAAGTGCGAACGCTTCCCTTGGGAAACTGTGGGGTCAAGCAGGCAGGAGAGAACAGAGCCTGGGTGGGGAGGTGGCCCTACTACATGCCTCGGACCCTATAAGCTCTGAGACCTACTATGTGCCCGGGAGTCGCTACCACGAGCCTAGGGAGTACTACTTCCGGCTCCCTCCAAGCATCAGGAGTATTCCCTACCTGTTCCGAGAGTCATGAAGCCACCAGACCTGCTTCTAACCAGGGCATCGCCCATTTGCCCCTTCCTCTCTTCGGCCCCTATTCCGCCCTCTTTCTCCCAGCCTCATCGTGCCCCCAACCCTCCAGCATCCCTCGGCCTCCGGCCTCTCCGCTGCAAATTCATATCTCCCCCAGACCCACAGCACTGAGGCAGAACAGGGGCGAGGCAAGGGGGTGCGGGGGTCCCCGACCCGAGGCCCGGCACTCTCACCATCGCGGGCGCTGGCTGGACCGGAAAGCGGAAGTACGGAAGTGGCCAGGCCCGAGACGCCTGCCCTTTCACAGGAAGCGCAGCCGCAGTCTCCGCCCAGACTTCCGGACGGTACCATCTCTTCTCCCAGCGGGGGTAGGGAGCCTCGGAACACTTGGTCCTTTGGAAGTTTTCCCGCTGGTCCTGTCTTGATTTTTTAAGACTCTAGAAGGTTCATATCGGTACTCAAGCTTCTTCCGTTATCCATGCAGCTCTCACTTTTGACTTTGACCTTCTTGTCCTCTTCGCCGCTTTCTTTCCCCATAGTTAAGCAATGGTGCAGCCCGACGGCAGGTTGGGCACCATATTTGGACAGGGCGAGGTGGAGGAGTCGTTCGTTTCTTCCGGTTCTGCGCCCCCATCCTTTCTCCGGGCCCCTCCTACCGCCAGCCCCTGGGGCTCGGCGGGACTAAGCGCTTGACCGATAACCCGGCAGCCGAGCCCCGCCCGCCTGCCCCGGCTGTTCCCTAGGGTACACCCGCGGCATACCCCTCACCCCACCTGCAGCAAGCTAACTGGCGGCCAGCAAACCCTCCCCCGCAAGCCGCTGAGGGCTCGCCCTTTCGTTTCTCCGCCCCCGCATCAACTGCAGGGGCCCTGCTCTTAGCCAGTTCCGGGTGGTTGATACACCAACCGGAACTCCCCGCCCCCTCTCGCGGCCCGGTGGTCGTAGATGGCCGGAGTGAGGAGGTAGAGGGGGCGGGGGCCGCGTTAGGGAGTCCCGAGAGGACAGGGACCCTGAAAGCGGGGCATTGGGGTGACCCACGGGTGGGACCAGCCACTAAGCAGTCCCACTTCTGTGCCAGTCACTGAACTGGGCTCTTGACGAGCATCATCTCTTAATCCTCAACATCCCGGGGAGGTAGGTACTATTGTTATCCCCATTTTACAGATTCAGACTTCTTTTGAGGAAACGGACCCAGGACTTCTTTCGTCCCCATTTTACAGATGGAAAAACCGAGACTCAGGAAGGTTAAATAACATGATCAGAATCACATAGAGAATGATAAAGCCTGGGCTTGGACCCAGGTCTGTCTGGCTTACCAGCCACATTCTTAACCGTTATCAGGCGCAAAAATGGGAAGGGGTGAGACAAGATGAGGCTGGGAGGCAAAACGAACATTAATGTTGTAAGAATGGGATGCTTGGAACTCAGAGGCTCGGCAGAGCCGAGAAGGAGCAGAACAAAAAGGAACAGGGTCAGGAAGATAGGACATAGTATATCATGGTGGTGAGGCGCACAGACTCACAACTACCTGCATTCAACTTGCGTTTTGGTAAGCTTGGGCATGTACCCACCCTTACAGAGTCTCAGTTTCCTTATTTGTAAAATGGAGATCACCATGGTTCCTGCTCAAGGGGTTGGATGAGGAATTCAATGAGAAGCTGATAAAATGTCTGCACTGTGTTTGGTGCACAATATGTGTTCTGTGAGGAGACGCTGTGCCATCAACCTGTCAGTAGGGTACTTAAGCCTAGTGCTCTCCTTGATGTTCTCCCAAGATGGAGGGAGCCCTTGGGCTTTTCTTGTGCCGTTTTATCTATCATTAATGTCCCTCTCCTCTCCAGCTCCACAGGGTCCTCTATCCTTGGCCATGAGTGAGCTGAAGGACTGCCCCTTGCAGTTCCACGACTTCAAGTCTGTAGACCACCTGAAAGTTTGTCCACGCTACACGGCAGTGCTAGCCCGCTCTGAGGATGATGGCATCGGCATCGAAGAGCTGGACACTCTGCAGCTGGAACTTGAGACTCTGCTTTCTTCTGCCAGCCGGCGCCTGCGAGTGTTGGAGGCTGAAACCCAGGTGATAACCTACAGAGGGGACATCACCAGGGATGGACTATGACAAGTTATGGATGGATCATTGAGTTAGCCCCATCTGCTAAGGCCTGGAGTACAAGAGGTTAGAGGGGGAGAGAAAGACCCAAATTGAGCATGTGTGTAATCTTCATAAATTGCAAGATTTCTAATTCACTAAGCATTTATTGACCATCCCCACCCTCCATTATGTTGTGGGTACTGTGCAAATCAGAGAGAGGTAATTAGGACAATTCTGGCTTTCAGGGAGTTAGCCAACCGAAAGGAGGGGGAGGTCAGCCAAGTACCAGGTGATGTGTTATGGTTAGAGGTACTAGGGGAATGGAGTGAGGAAACCTGCTTTTGAATCCTGGCCCAAGCACTTGCTAGTTGGCTGTTTCCTAGCTGTGTGACTTTGGGAAAGTTATATTCTGTTTCTGAGCATCAGTTTTCTATCTGCAAACTGGGCTGAAAAATAGAACCTACCTCAGAGCTTTTGTGAGGGTTAAGAGAGATTTTTTTTTTGCAAAAGCTCAGCCCAATGTCTGACACTAAGTCAGCATTTCGAGTGTCAATTATTGGTATTACTCTGATCATTTCTGTTCACAGCATAAAATCCCCTGAGGCCTGTGTGCCAGGTCCTATGCCAGATCCTGGGGAACAGGGCTGGTTAAGATGAGCTTCCTGGTCTCCAGTAGCTTATAATCTAGTTGAAAAGAAAAAATAGCCCAGCCGGGCGTGGCTCAGCGGTTGAGTGTCGACCCAGGATCCAGGCTATCGGATCGATTCCCCGTCAGGGCACATGCCTGGGTTGTGGGCTCGATCCCCAGTTGGGGGCGTGCTGGAGGCAGCCAATCAATGACTCTGTCATCACTGATGTTTCTATCTCTATCCCTCTCCTTTCCTTTCTATGAAATCAATAAAGATATATTTAAAAAGAAAAAAAAAAGAAAAAGTAACACTAACACTGTTCATTTTAGTATGACCATACAACACAATTGGACCTACAGTGTAGGTGCAAAGTGTCAGAATCTCGTAGAGGAAGAAGATGCCATTTCAGTTGGATCTCAAAGGATGAATAGAGTCAACTTGTGGGCTCTGGGAATTCACTGAAGCTTTTCAAGTAGGGCCATGGCACAACCAATTGCATTTTAGCATATAAGAAGCTGGGTAACATGCAGAGAAGGCTTCCCAGTAAAGTGAAGGTTTGTTAGGAGACTTGTTTGTCTTCACCAAAAAGTTACACCAGCATATTTTCCTAGAGCTAGAATGTACTGGGGTCATTTGTTTCACCTTCTACAGAGCAGCATCAGAGTACAGACAAATGAATGGAATGATGAGAAGTATATGAATAAAGTCCTGTGAGATGGGCACAGAAAAGGAGCTGAATTTGAAGGATGAGTAGGAGTTTGCTAAGTAAAAAGGGGATGGAGAAAGACCTTGGCTCCTCCTCAAGTTCTAGATCCTAATTCTTTACGGGGGAAAGAGTTGTCCTATGTCTTCCCTTCTCCCCCCTCAGTGACAGTCTCTGAATTTCAGATCCTCACTGACTGGCAGGATAAGAAAGGTGACCGACGACTCCTGAAACTGGGTCGAGAACATGAACTTGGGGCTCCCCCCAAACATGGGAAGCCCAAGAAGCAGAAACTGGAAGGGAAGACAGGACATGGACCAGGCCCTGGCCCCGGGCGACCCAAATCCAAAAACCTTCAGCCCAAGATCCAGGAATATGAATTCACTGATGACCCAATTGACGTGCCGCGGATCCCCAAGAATGATGCCCCCAACAGGTTCTGGGCTAGAGAACATAGAGAGGCATTGGGATTCGGGAAGTGGAGACTGTGGAGAGGCCCTGGGCTGAGGCTGGTGGGGCATGGGGTACCCACTTAGGATCTGCTTCTCCCTGCAGGTTCTGGGCTTCGGTGGAGCCCTACTGTGCTGATATCACTAGTGAGGAGGTGCGCACGCTAGAGGAGCTACTGAAACCCCCAGAAGATGAAGCTGAACATTACAAGGTAGAAAGCCTGAGCCTTAACAGACACGGTAGAGAACAAGAGGGCTCAGAAGTGCCTCAGAATCAAAGCTCCGAAAACCATATGTCATCTTCCTTCCCTTACCCTGCCCAGTCTTCTGTCTATCCCTTTAACCCACCCAGAAACCCAGTCTCAGCTTTCTCCTTGCATTGTCTCCCTTCTGTCCCATTCATGTGGTTACCACATCCTAAGGCATCAACTTCAGTGAGGCTCTCCCTTGTCCCCACATCTCTGTCCCCTCAGCTTCGGTTTAAGACTTCCATCAGCTTTCATCCAAACAGGCTCTTAATTCTTCCTTCCTCCAGAAGGAGCTTTCTTTCTTTAATATTTAAAAGTTTATTTTTTTAATGATGAAAATAAAACAGGTTCCATTAAAAAAAGTGTAGAAAATAGAGAAAAGTGTTAGGGGGAACTCTCCCATAGGTCCACTGTCATGCTCAGATGTGACACGGCCCTGCTCCCAGTCTTCCTGGCTCCCATTACCCACAGGATCCAGTCCAAGTGTCTCAGTCTTTGGTGGCACAGCTCCAGTGCCCCTCTCCAGTTTCATTGGCCACGCCCTCTCTTCACTGGTACATTTACCAGCCCCACCAGGCACCTTATCTTTACTCCAGACCCACACAGGATCCTTGTTGGGCTCTGGGCCTTTACACATGCTCTCCTCCCCTTGGCATACTGACTTACCCTTCAAACCCTGACCTCGTGTAAGCTTCACCAAAATGCCTTTGCAGATTCACCAGCAGAAAGTTGATCTCTTTTTGGGCTGCCACAAGACCTGATCTACCTCTGTCACTTGTCTGAATTTTTAAAAAATTTATTTGAAAAAGTAATCCATATCGGCAGTAATAAATTTAAGCAGTACAAAAGAGAATTTCCTCTCCTGACTTTAAGGCCTCTGGAGATGAGCTATGACCTGAGATGGTCCATGTACACACATCATTCTGTAACTTGTATCTTGAAAATTGCTCCATATTAGCTTCTGTGTGTGTTTTAGTTCTTTATATACCCATCTCCCTTACTAGGCTAAATGTAGAGATTTTACCTCCTTTGTCTCTTCTCACCTAAACCAGGCACAGGCCTTCACCCTGAGCTAAGTCCTTGGGAAGGAGATGAGTGAAGGAATAAAGAGCCTGTGTTTATCCCCTTGAGCCTGTGGGATCTCTCCTACAGATCCCACCCCTGGGAAAGCACTACTCCCAGCGCTGGGCACAGGAGGACCTGCTGGAGGAGCAAAAGGATGGAGCTCGAGCAGCAGCTGTGGCTGATAAGAAGAAAGGCCTCATGGGGCCACTGACCGAACTGGACACTAAAGGTAGGTCGCTCACCTCACTGTCTAC